CTTACACTAATGATGTATGGAATATATTCAACTGGAGTAATGTATGCAAACAAAAGATATAATGGTCATAATTGAGTAGTGTTTACTCACTCAATCCTGTAGATACAGTAATGGCCAGATTGTTTGTAGTGAGATTATGAATAACAGTATTGTTATCATAATGACTTATTGTAACAGTGTAATTAGCAATGATTCCATTAGCTTCATTAGGAAGACTCCACCAGATGAGGAATGATGTATTAGACTGAACTGAAGCAACATTAAGGGAAGTCACTTTACTAGGAGCTATATAAAATTAAAAATATAGAACACTTAAAAGTAACTATTATACCTGCTTCATCAGTGACAGCATTAACATTAGCTGATATTCCTCTTCCATATCTAGTGATAGCAGTAACATTGCAAGTGTATTTTCTGAATGGTATCAATCCTAGTAGTGTAACTGAGAGACTAGTATTAGATACACTACCAGTCATTGTATATGATACATTAATACCAATACATGTGTAATTGTAACCAATGATAGGAATGGATTGATGAGTAGCAGGTGGACTCCAACTGAGGATTAGTGAAGATGAACTGATTGCTATTAGTTTAGGTGATTTAATAGTACCTATAGGCAAGAGATTTAAATAATTTTTGAACAATCAACAAGATAACTTACCATTAACAGTTACATTGACTGAAGTTCTTAAGTTATCACTGGGTAAAACAAATGAATGATTAGTACTTGATATATTGTATTGGCAAGTATATTGTCCAGCATCAGATAATGACACATTATTGATAATGTAGCTGATAGTGTGTTCAGTATTATTATTGATACCAGTATATGAGTGTAGAGTGCGATTAGAGGAATTGAGCCATTGCATGTTCACATTAGTAGTAATATAAGAAGGATAAGTGGCAGAACAAATTAAATCAATGTTGTCACCAACTCTATAATAAGGTTTTAACTGAGCAACTGATGGATTTTCCCCATTAGGAACTAAAAGTAAAAGATGGAATGGTGAATAACACTAAATTTACTTACTTTTAACTATTATACTTGTGAATTCATTGTTTGCTCTACTGGGTATGATATTAGTGCTCATTAAAGCACTAACAAAGAAAGAACAAGTATACCTCCCAGCATCAGTTAGTTTTAGACTGCTTATACTGTAATTTAAAGAGTGTTCACTCACTGCACTGTGGTCATTGAGTCCAGTATATGAGCCCAGGCTGTAATTGAGCCATTGTATGTTCATAGTAGTATCAACATCAATAAGGTGATTAGTAGGATAATTGATAATGCAAGAGAGAGTAATGCTATCATTAACATTATAGTAGGATTTGGAGGGATGGACCAGTATATATGGAACAATGACATTTGGTACTGTGGGTTAGACATAAAAATAGAGAAAAATTACACCTGCATGCTTCTTACTTTTTATATTAATTATGATGAAGTTTATGGTAGTATCACTTATAACTATATGAGGGACACTAGTATTAATGAAGAAGGAGCAA